AATGTAAAGTTTTTTTTGAGTTAATTTAAATAGCTGCTATTATGTTCTTAGAGAGTATAAAAATTCTCTCAGCATGCAAATAAGAAATGATTAAAAATAAACGTGCATTAAAAAAAAAAAAATAAAAATAAAAAACCACGGAACTTATGTTAAAAGAGTAGCACATTTTATCTATTATTTTAAAATTGAGTAAGCTTTAAAGTTTTTAACGGTTAGTCTAAAATGCATAAAGCAGTAACATTGCCTCTTCAAATTATAGCTATCTTCACACACAGTCATTTTAAAACGCTGGTTCAAAAAACCTAATTTCCAAGCTGTGAAGATATTGGCGCTTAAGTGTATCATGGCTACGTCATCACTTCTCACTTTCTGCTTCAGGGGGAAAAGCTCTATAGCTAGCCCTCTCTTCTAAGTCCTGATTCGTACACATCTAGTTCTGCCTTTCCACATAAGCCCCACCTACTTCGGCTTGATGTGAAACACAAGCGTCTAACAGATGCTAGTTTCCTCCTTCATTGCACAGATCGCGCAGCGTGTTTATGTCAGGGAGCTCGGCATGCAGAAAGGAATCAGCTGGCACCGAGACCGTGCCATTAAGTTACGAAAGTGCTGAGCATTACACAGTGTAAATAAATTTTTTTATTAGTTTTTCTACAGTATTTTTCTTTTTAAGTCGGATACATATTTACATGTTTGATATTGATTTTTGGTTGTTTCTCATTTTCTATCAAATAATATATTATTTTGATTTGTGTTTTCCCTTTTGCACCGTTTTGTTTAGTTGTTTAATTATAAATCTATATATAAAAGAATTCCTGATATTTATTCATTCATTCATCTATACATCATCGCCCAAAGCTATTACAGATGCAGATATCAAAAGCTAGGAGCTCATTCTTGTCTACTGAAGGCGTCATTTAAGAAGAGATTTTTTGAAAATTCGGCACACCAAGGAGGGGAGGGCAAAACATGTTTTTACGTTTTTTCATAATAAGGAAGAAACAGATGTACACAAGAGTCTTGCTTTAAAATGTATAGAACATGAATACTTAAAAACCAGCTTTCAGAAGTTCGACCCCCCCCAAGGACCCCTACCCTTGACAATTCGGCCCCCAAGGGGGTAGGGGGGCTGTGGTAATACAATTTTTATTAAGGTAGTACAATAAATTGAGACAGATCGTTAATAATCATAACAATAGACATAGAATAAATATTTTGTCTTTCACTTGTTATGGGTTACCAGACTGGCAGCGTTGTAATAGGCAAGTCGCCACAGGGGCAAAACATGTTTTTCACATATTTCTTCACACTTTAGATATCCGTAAGATTCAGTGGTGGATAAGGCTGGTGGGGGCTGGTGCGGTTTATGGGCTGATCAAGAAATTCGAAACAATCGAATGACACAGATGACTCGGCGAGACAGCCCTGCGAGGGAAGGTATGTGCGTAGAATTATACTTTCTCTGAAAAGTATATCTTCCAATGTATACAAAATGCACAGATACGACAAATGGCAAAATCTTCTGGATAAAATATCAACTTTTAGAATAATTTTGTCTGCTCATGTATATTTTGAAAATATTTCAATATACTGAGCCAGTAAGAAATATTTGCAGACTAAAGGATTAGATTACATCCTAGCATATAATATAGTTAGGGAGGCTGCAAAAATCATAATCCGGTTCCAATTTGAACATTTAAGCAACAACGCAATCTTGCAACGGATTAACTGAATAGATAATTTTATAGAAGAGCTTACCTTTCCCGTCCAATAGACATTAAGACGGCCGACTATATTTAAATGCTCTATTTTGTCTTTTGCTTGCATATTGGATAACGCCATTTACGCAGTGGTAAAGGTCTTGTATACGACATGGTCACGCGATGAGAAAGTTTCGATAGCTTTGAGGCCGAATTAAACACTTTCGACTATTTTTCTATATTATTAGGGCATTATGCAGGTGTAACAGCTGGTTAAAATTCTTAAGGACGAATATCAGGACCTAGTAATTCAATGTGAAATAATAAAAATTCAATGAAAATCATTATTCTGAATCTAATATTGAGTCAGAAAGAGAAAAAGCTCTATCTATTCATGAGCATTCATCCACTCATCCAAAGCTAAATGCAATTTCTTGTGTGCATATAAATTACTCTTGAAATATAATTTATGTAGTATTGTGTATGCCAATGTCTTTTTTGCTTATACGTTTGTACTCGCCTATCTATAAGATGAATGTGAAATAACTTTTTCAAAATAAAAAATTGTAAAAAAGTAGATTAAGGAGTGCAATGAAGCAAGCTAATTTGAAGTCATTACTATTGATGAACATAGAAAAGCAAAAATTAAAGATATTATGGAGGAAATATTTGCCCAGGCACATGGAATTAAAAATCTTTAAATGGCTAATTATGAATCAGCGGCTGTTTTGTTTATATATTATTTAGTCACTGTTATTTATTGTTTGTAGTTTATTTGAATATATTATATCTGAATAAAGTGTTACTTTTCTGTAAAGGTAACACTTTATTCAGATATTCCGTCAAAACCGCTGCGTGCATTGAGCCGTATGTGGACGAGCATTGTCATGCAGGAGCACAAAACCTGCAGTAAGCCATTCCACGCCTCTTGTTTCAAATGGCGCGTCACAATTTCCACAGTGTTTCACAGTAATGGTCAAGCGTTTACTGTTTCACCACGTGGAAGGAACTCAATGAGCAGAATGCCCTTCTTGTCCCAGAACACTGTGCACATCACTTTGCCGTACCAACAGATAGCGTCTGTTTGAATTTCGTCCCGACTGGAGATCCACTATGCTGCCAATGCATTGACTGCTGCTTGGTTTTCGGCGGTGAAGTGCAGAATCCAAGTCTGATTGCCCGTGACGATCCCATCGAGGAACTTGTCGCCGTCATCGTGATACCGTTACAGAAATGTCAGTGCTGCTCCTAAGCGTTCAATTTTGTGTTCAGATGTCGGGTTTTTCGGCACCCCACCTGGCACACAATTTTTTGAACAGCAGGTGCTTAGTGACAATCTCTTGCAACAAGGATTGTGATATCTGCAGAAAATGGCTGCTCAGCTTCGTAATCGTGAAGCGACGGTTCTCCATCACAAGCTCAACAAGATCATCATTGATGAGGGACTGTCTGCCACTGCACTCTTCATTATGAGCACTTTGACGACCTTCTGAAAACTGCCTACACCAACTATGCATCATCTGCTTTACTCATGATGTTTGTCCCATAGACCTGACAATGAATTTCAATTGGCGCAGTACTTGCATTCAAGAACTTTATCACTGACTCAACCTCGCAGGCGGCAGGAGAAGGAATAAGAGCTTCCATCTCGGACCACTGCAACCACACTACTGGCACGAGGCACAAGCGTCTAGCCCCTCAGATGCTAGTTTCCTCCCTGATCATTTGCGCAGATTCACGCGCAGCGTGTTTACTCCAAAAAGCTCGGCGTGGTCAAAGCCGATTTTTTTAAAACGTTGCGAACTTGGTGCGCATTACTGAGTGTAAATTAATCTCTTTTATTAGTTTTTCTGAAATAGTTTTCGTTTTAATTGGTATACATATTTATTTGTTCAGATGTTTTATTATAAATCTATACATAAAGGAAGAATTCCTGATTTATTCACCTACAGATCATCGCTCAAAGCGTTTAGAGATATCAAAACTTAGGAGCTTATTCCTTTTGTACCGAAGATGTTACTTAAGAAGCAATTTTTTAAGATTCCACGGGCAAAACGTGTTTTTATGTTTTCATATAAGGAAGAAAGAGATGTACATAAAATTCTTGCTTTAAAATGTATGGAATATGAATACGTAAAAACCAATTTCAAATGTTTTCAAAATTCGGCCTCAAAGGGGGGGGAACGTGTTCTTTACATATTCCTTCATATCTCAGATATCCATAAGACAAACTTATGAATTATTGCTGTAAAATGTAAGGAATACGAATAAATGCTGACATCAAAATGTGTGGGGAGGGGGACTGATTGGCATAAAATACAAGTTTACATAATGTACAAGTAAGCCTTATTCAAGGTACAGGAATACCAGGTATGTAAAGCTAGTTAGCATTAAAAAATTAAGGTTTCTACCATTTAATGTTATTAATAATTAAAACCCAAAATAAAAATGTAGCAGCATCAATTCACAAACTGTGATGAGATTGTTACAATGTTCAGTTAGTTTTAAACAATTCTACACATAATAAAATGGCCAGTGCACAACATGTGAATGTACATGGGGTTGAATAATTAGAAAATAAAAATCTTGACAAATATTAAATAGTAGAAAATATTGCTAACACCAATGGACGTATTATGCATAATTTTATCTGCAATCATCCTGTCGCATTACATGTACCTTCTGAAGCCACTTATCATCCTGCCTCTCCAAATCTCTCGGACATCTTGGATATTATCCTTACAAATACTTCTATCCCTATTTCCTTGGAAGTCAAGGCAGAACTTACATCTGATCATGTACCTGTCATTGCTTCTCTTGGTGTTTCTAAAGAAGACCCTCCTATACCAGGAAATAATACTGACTGGATTACTTTTCACAATATCTTTAATCAAACATCCTCCTATTTTCACTTCACTTTCTACCAAACAGGATATCGATCTTGCCATTCATAATCTTCACTGACAGTATACTGAAAGCTTTCAGAGATGCTACAGTTACCATTCAATTAACTAACAATAATATTCGACTTCCTCGCAGTATCAGAGACATTATCAAAGAAAGAAACCGATTGCTGAAGCTTTGGCACCGTAACTGGGACCCTGCCCTTAAAAGAGAAATCAATATTTTTAATAGAAGAATCAAGAAACTTATCACTGATTTTAAAAAGGAAACAAGAGAAGATTTTATATCTAAACTTAATATTAATGATGGTTCTCTGTGGAAAGTATCTTCAAAATCTTAAAAGAAGTAGTATTAATAATAGACCTATTCATACGGATACTAAAATTGCCTACTCACTTAAAGATAAAGTCGATATTTTCGCTGAATACCTGGAAAAGCAGTTTACTCCTAATATGGAGCCTATGAATCAGACCTTTAAAGATGTTCTCGAAAACTATGTGTATTCCTGGCTTCATTCTTCTTCGGCTCATAACATCCCAAGGCTTACTTCTCCTATGGAAATTACTAATATTATTAAATATCTCAACATCAAAAAAGCTCCTGGAAGTGATCAAATTACAAATAAAATGCTTCGTAACTTACCTAGAAAACTTATCAGTAAATTCGCTAGTATTCTCAACGCTTGTCTTGCTCTCAACTATTTCCCTGATCCTTGGAAGCAAGCCAAGATCTTTCTTCTTCTTCCAAACCGGGTAAAGATGTGACCAAGCCTGATGGCTATCGTCCTATCAGTTTGTTATCCAGCCTTGGTAAAATTTATGAAAGACTTATTCTCACTAGATTGGAACCTTTTCTTCACCTGCTACCTAATGATCAGTACGGATTCAGAAAAAACCTCAGTACTACTCGACAACTAGTAAGAATTGTAGAATTTGTGGGATCTGCATTCCATAACAAGCAAAGTGTTGCGCTCCTTATGCTGGACGTGGCAAAAGCCTTTGACCGCGTCTGGCATGAGGGGCTCGTCTTCAAGCTTATCAACTTGGGACTTCCTAGAGAGCTCATTCTTCTGATCTTCTCCTTTTTGCAAAACCGCACTTTCTTCGTCGCTCAAGGAAATGAAAAATCCAATTCAAGACCTATAAGATCCAGCGTCCCACAAGGAAGTATTCTCGGTCCAGTACTATATCTTTTCTACATATCAGATTTTCCTCACCCTGGTTTGGACAATTACTCTCTGTTAGCATGTTATGCCGACGATACGGCGATTGCAATTAAATCCATTCAAGCTAATCATGCAATAGAGAAAATGCAAAATTACCTCTATGCCGTAGAAGACTGGTGCACAAATTGGCGAGTAAAAAATCAATGCTAGCAAGTCACAACTTTTAATTCTTAGCAAAACTAAGAAAAACTTTGCTTTTAAAGACCTCTACCTTTTTCAGGAAACTGTTCCTCTGGTCACAAAGGCCAAATACTTAGGAATTATTTTGAACCAAAGGCTCACATGGTCTAATCACATTAATAGTGTCAAGAGCAAAGCCATGGGCATAATATGCAGATTTCTCCCGGTCATTGGAAAATATTCAAATCTTAGCTTGCGTACCAAAAAACATATATCCAAGTCTTTAATTATGATACCCACTTGCATTCGACCGATACTTTGTTATGCTGCTCCTGCTTGGAACACGGTCACTCAAACTCAACTGCATCAATTACAAGTAGTGCAAAACAAATTTCTGCGCATTATTACTGATTCTCACTATCTTATCCGCAATAAACTTTTACACAGAGACTTAAAACTTGAGACGATTCCAGATTACATCAGAAGATCTAATGAAAAATTCTTCAACAAAGCTGTGCAATGTGACTTTGTTAATTACTCCCAAGTTTTTAATTATGAAATTCTCTTCGAAGATAGAAGCGTCAGACCACTTGCAGCTCACACCTTCATGGGAGGAGACGACAACTTTTTCACTTAGATCCTCAATTGTTAGCTATTTACACTTCCAATGCATCTGATTTTGATTGAAGTTCTTCTGTTGCTTCGTTGAATAATTGTATTTAAATTGTGTTGTATAGTTGTTTTGTATTGTGTTGTATTTAGCACTACTGATTGATGTTGTTTAATTATATTTGAATTTGTCATTGGAACTATTGCTGTAGTGTATCTTCTCGTATTGTTGTCATTGATTTCCATTGTCTTGGGTCCTCCTTGAAAGCTATGATCGCTCGTCACCTTTTGCGAACTTGTCCGATTGGATTGTCTTGCTCCTTTTGGTACTTCTCTTCTTCCCCTTATCTCCGTTTTCTCATCTGAGATTTTCTCCACGTCCGGATTTATTTATGTCAAGTGCCCTTGGGCTTTAATTTTGGAACCGGCAACATTGCTCTTCGCAATAGCTCGGTCAATTATAGAGTCTAAGTCTAA